AGTGAGCTTCAGACAGACCATGTCTCAAAAGAAACAAGCTACTATCAAGTGACCACAAGTCCAGATGACTTTGTTAATAAAGTTCTGAAAGTCCAGTAGGGCAGCGCAGGCCGATTTTAAATCATGCTCATTTTTACTCTTTATCAGGCAGAGTAAAAAAAAAAAAAAAGAGTAAAAATGGTTTTCTGTCTGTACTATACCTTCTACTTGGTCAGCCTATGCCCTACTCTTCCAACTTTCCTGGAATAGTAAAATCTGGAGTATATCTGAAGCCTTGAATGAGGTTGACCATTATCTAAATTTTAACACATGCCAACCTCAGATAATTTGTAGAAAAATGGTAAAATGTAAGCTTTGAAATCTTTAAGTGGCATAATTCTACGTCTAATCTCTAATGTTCACGTTTTTCACCTACAAAATGGTATTACTTTCAAAAGTGTATTGTGAGATTTGCTGACCTACCACATACTGAACAAATACTAGCTTTTATGAAACATTACCGCCAGAGTTAGGGATGTCACAGAAAGTCTACCGGCTTTTTTATTATTTAAAAGTTAACAAGATTTTAAGACTCCCTCGGGTTTATATGCAGGCCCTTCTCTGCTTCATTACCTTCCGAGCATCTCTGCACTAAGACTACACAGGGGCTGGAGACGGCCCTGCAGTGGTAACCTTTACTGCTCCAGCAGAGGACTGGGTTTGGTTCACAGCACCAGTCACCTGCACGAACTCCAGTTCCAGGGATTTGACCTGCCCTTCTGACTTCACTGGACTCCTATAAACGTGCGGTGCTTGTGTATGCACACATACATGTAACAGAAACGGATAAATCTAAAACCTATCTCAGCCCAATTCCTGTTGACCTTGAAGAGTGCTGAAGTGGGGCGTTAAAGCTAGGGTATATTAAGTTCAGCTGGCAGAATACTTGCCTAGCACGCAGAAATGCATAAAATCTGGTGTGACTGATCCTGCAACCATAGTTTATAATCTCAGCACCTAGTAGAGACATTTGTATTATTAGAAAGTCAAGGTCCTCCTCACATAAATAAAGCCAGATTGGGCTAGAGACCCTGTGTGAAAAAAATAAAGGAAGGAAAAATTGCTCAGTTGGGAACTCATCTTTTTTCTTTTTTTTCAAGTCAGGGTTTCTCTGTGTAGACTTGACAGTCCTAGACTTGATTTGTAGACGAGGCTGACCGAAAACTTACAGTGATCCACCTACCTCTGCCTCCCAGAGTGCTACAGCACTGGGATCACAGGCGTGCGACAACACGCCGACTTCGGGTAACTTATGTTCTGCTGGAGAAGATTTGTAGCCTCACGTAAGAGCAGGCTGTGGTGGTGCACATCTGTGCTGTGAAACAAAGACAGGAAGATGCCAGGGGCTCACTGGCTAAAACTAGTCCATGATCAGTGAGTTCCAGCTTCATTTAGAGACTGTAAAGACCTTAACACAAGGTGTGGTAGAGAAGACATCAAGATGCCAGGCACTGACCTCGGCTTCCACACAGTCACACTGGCTTGAGAACAGACATACATATACATACAACCACACAGAGAATGTAAACAGTTGTTTGCACCTCAGCATCTACACACAAAGTAAATATCAAAAAGCACTGTGCTTATGAGGCCAGAGTCACAAGACAGAGGGTACATCACCTGGTTTTGGTGAGTTAAATTTCCTATTAAACTCTTAAACATACAGAAAGTAAGAAGCTCAACAGTGGTGGTGCACACCTTTGATCCCAGTGCTAGGGAGGCAGAGGCAGGTGAGTCTTTGTGAGTTTGAGACCAACCTGGTCTACAAAGCAAGGCCAGTACAGCCAAGGCTACAGAGAAACCCTGTCTCAAAAAAAAAAGTAGGAAAAATTAACTTCCACATACTAATCAACAAGGTGATATATACTGTATGATTTGAAAAAGTCCTAAGAGGTCTGTAGCTTCCATTTTCCTTCCTCAGATGCTACTCTGAAACATCACACCATAAAAGATCACGCGGATCAGCAAGCCCCAAGTATCAACCAACACCACCGTGAGGCAGGGAAGCTAAACGTAGCCACATGAGGGAAGCCCTTTGACACACAAAACTTCTAGGGCCTTTTAGAAAAATCTCTTGGCTAACACATACAGTATTCCTAATATTTTAAGGTAACCTTTATGTAGTTTTTAAAAGGCAAAAATCTAGCATCTTAACCAGAGACTATAACTGATACTATCAGTTCTACAACACTTAAAGGTAACCTGTTCTCTTTGAAATTTACTGTTTAGCTGTCACAATTCAATCTTCTTTCAGCAACTGCAAACCATTTGAGTCCTTTGTGCAAAGTCAGAAACACACCACTCCTAGCTTTTCCAAGCCTACACTCTTCACAGCTGTTGGCAAAAATGGGTGCAGAGGAGCAAGTGATTTTAAAACCAGCTCTTCAAACTTATCCAGTCTAACCAGTGGTCAGGGGAGATATACTTGAGAACAGGTTTGACCACATTAAGTTCATGTCAATGTAGAAAATTAAAAATTAAAAGCAGACATCAAATCTCAATCAACTCGCAAATTACAAAGCAATTTTTTCCTTTCTGCTCAGTCCTTTTGGATTTACTCCTAGCAACTTTACTAATGAATTAATTTTCAAAAAATATGTCTATATATGTATGAATTACCTCAAATGGAATTCTCCTTCGGTGATTCAGAGCTTTAGTGGGAACTCGATCATTTTTAAGCGGTGATCTAAGTTGGCCCATTATTAATCTAATAATTTAATAGCTCATTACTTATTACTTAATTTATTGCTTAAAAGCATGGCTTGATGCAAGCTTATACACTCTAGTAAGTATTTCCAAGTTTTTTACTGACACACATGCAGAAATCTAATGATGATCTTATTTGGATACAACAGACCTCCACTGCACAGCACAGGCACTAAACCGTCTAATGTAGTACAGAAAGCCCTCCGTGCTAAGTTCTAACCGTCCTTCATGTCACCTTTCAGCCGTGGGAAGCGAACAGTCACCTCCCAAAACAGACCATATCATCACAACAGATGCTGGGCAACCTTCAGTTTAGCTCAAGGATTTCTCCCTTTAAAATTTTCCAAGCCTGAACATACTTTATACCCCACAGTCTTTCTGTACAGTCTTTACAGAAAGGTACTGACTGCAGTTGTTTACACACTGGTCTGATGACTAAACTGAGAGCTGTGGAAGGAAGATACTGCGTCAAGCTCATTCTTGCAAGGGGAAGCCCTGACCTGGAAAACAAGCAATGCTTTATATTACTTGATAAATTTTCCACTGTTAGGATTACTTTCCTAAAATACATTAAAATGTGAACAACTCTTAATGATGTAACAGAGAAAAGAGGTGTGTGAGATGGATATGGAATTGGCTAAACACTGTCTACGTTAAATGCTATGGATGACTTATGTCCAAGCTGATTATCCAAAACCTTCGTGTAGAACACAGAGGAAAATTTGTGAAGTTATCCTCCTTATTCAGGCCACCTCAAATCAGAAAACAAATGCTTAGCATGCCCCAAGACCCTACACTGCGTTAAGACAGCTGACCCATCATGAATAAGGTAATGGGGGGAGAGGACGACACTAAATTCCATTATAAACAAATATGAAACTGTCAAAGAATGAGGAAAAATCTCTAGGCCTGGGGGGAAAGGGAGTGTGAAGGATGGTGTACCGAATATTTAGGGCAAAACCGGAGCTGTGTAGTTTTCTGGGATCTGGTGGCAAACTCCAGCACTCAGAAGGCTCAGGCAAGAGTATCTTAAGTTTGCGGTCAGTGTGGGTAACACTGTGATATACAAGGTAAGAGGCCTCTCAACAACCAAAACAAACTAGCTACATGAAGCTCTGGAGATACGTTTCCCAAAGTCCAATTCTGAAGTGTTGTTGTTGTTTCCCCCCCCCCCCCCCGACCAGAGTACTTGGTTATAAACTGGTGGTCAATTTCATTTGTTTGTAGTCATTAAAAATTCACACTGCAGGTATCATGCCCTGTAGCGAGCTGTCTGCTGACTGCTTCACACACTATCTCATCACAGTGAAAAAACGGCTCTCGCGAGCAGGGGGAACTCGTCACACGCAGGAAATCCGAAGAGGCTAAGTACGGCCATAATGATGCCAGAGTTTCTGATTCCACTGCCACGGCCTCACCACTACAACACAACTGGTGCCTCACACTCGCCGGAGCTGTTGAAAGAAAACACCGACCCCGTTTCCGGCTGTCCCGGGAGAACACACAGAATCTACTGTGTGAGCGAGACTACTCTCGTTCGATCTGCAAATCAGAGATTTATCTCGACGCTTAACGTCTTCCATCTGGAGAGTGAAGGGGTAGGCGGGGGGTGGGGGCGGAGATAAGAAATAAGGGATCCCAAAAGGGTGGGCGGGGGAGGGGTAAGAAATCAGGGCATTTCAAAAAACCATGTTCGGAGTGCCTAAAAACTACAAAATGGTGCGTGACCCGAGGCCGGCTCTTTAAAAACTGTCTTCATCCTGGTCGTGACGAGGTGTTTATTACCCACGCGGATTTCCGGGTCCCCCCCATACTAACATCCACTCCTGCGGGGAGGAAGGAAAGTGCTCATTGTAGTGGTCTCGGGCTGCGAGGGGCTCTCGGCCTCGGCCACGCAGTGCCTTCCAGACGAGGCAGCATCCCCCTACTCGCACCCGGCGTGCCCGGGGCCGGCCCCCGACGCCCCTCGGCCCCGGCGTGCCCCTCGAGACCCGTCCTCGGCCGCACACGCGGCTCGGGGTGCGGGGCCACCGAGAGGCCTACCTCCCCGGGCTGCGAGGGGCCCGAGGCCCGCGCCCGCACCCCCCGCCGCCGCCGGGCGGGCGCCACCGGCCGCGGCGGGTTCCCCACGCCCCGCGGGGGAGGGGAGGGGACACGCACCACCCGTCCTCCCCGCTCCCGGGGAGCGGAGGGGGAGGGGGCGGCCCGCACTCCAGCGCTCCCCTCCCCCCGCCGCCGCCGCCGCCGCCCTTTACCCTCTTCCAGCTGGCGCTCCGCAGGGCGCGTCGGCCTCCCCGCAGCCACACCGCCGCCGCCGCCGCCTCCCTTCGCCGCGCCCGCTCTCAGGCCGCGGAAGCGGAGCCGCTCGGCGACCGAAGCACAATGGCGGCCGCCCCTCCGGATGCGGCGCAGAAGTGGCCGCCGCCGTTGGCAGCCCCGCCCTCCCTCCTCCTCCTCCTCCTCCTCCTCCTCCCTCCTCCCTCCTCCCTCCTCCCTCCCCCCCACCCCGCCCGCCGCTGCGCGCTCTCGCCGGCTTCTCGCGAGAGTGGCCCGGCCGCGCTGCGGGGGAGCCGGGAGCTGCGGGCGGGCTAGACGTGCCCCGCCGCGGGGTGGTGCTCTGACTGCGGCAGCCGTTGAGGGCCGCCTCGGGGGAAGCTGCGAGGCGCCACGGTAAGCGGCCGCGGCTGGTCGGCGACGTGCGGGCGTGCGGGCGCCGGCAGCGGCGCGGGAGGCCGGGCGGAGTGCGAGGGGCTCGGCGCCCGCCTCGCTCCCGCTCCCGCCGCGGGCCCCTGCAGGCCCGCCGCCCCAGGTCCCGCCCGGCTGGTTGCGTGGGTGGATTTTGTTTTGTTTTGTTTTGTTTTTCCGTTTGTTTGAATCGCGCTTGGCAAGTGGCGCAGCGACTGTTTACTGAATGGACTCGAACACTGCCTTCTCCCACCTCCCCCTCCAGCCTCCCTGGCGCGTCCCTGCCCACCTTGTAGGGTTTGACAGCTCTCCCTCCACCTGCAGCCTTACGGATGGATCCGAACACCCTTTCTGGCAGTCTGCTTGGAGTAAATAAGTTTTAGTGGTGGGGTATTTTTTTTTTTTTTTAGGATCACTTTTTATCTTAAGATTACGCTATTAAGCTTTGAGAGCGCAGCCACAGGTTTTGCAGCAGACGTTCACTTATTTAGAAGGAGCGAGGAAATCTGTGACGTAGGCTGGTGACTGAGAAGAAACTTTCAAAACCACTGTAAATGTGGTAAACTGAGATGTAAATGAGTACTGATGGATACAAAGGAGGGTAGCAATCCACAGATTATGTGGATTTGAATGATGGACCAAACGCAAGTTGCTTAACGGTAAGTTCTTAACGGAAACTTGAAAGCACAGTAAAGGCACTTGGGTTTTTTATTTTTTTTTATTAAAGAATCCCTTGTACCCAAACCCACTAAGTGAAATGTGGTATGTGTATAGATTTGTCATTTTGTCTGAACAAAGTATCAGCCACTAAACTTCGCTGTTTCATCGGTCTTCACTAACCACTATATTTTTAGTTAGCACTAACTTCAGGTTTTGGAGGAGGTTGTTTTTGTTTTTTTTGTTACAGTTGACACAGGGTGTCAGCCTTTTGGTGTGAAATGTAAACAAGGTATCTGATAGGATAAAATCAAGTACAGATTGCTTTTGAGGAGATTTCATTTGTCCTTTAAAAAAAAAATACTTGTTCCTTCTGTTTGATTGGCCTTATAACACCCTTAAGAATCAGAATTCATGGGTTCAAATAGAACCCCTGACTCTTACTACCTTTATTTTTTAACCTTGCTAAGAATTCCTTAACCCAGGCTTCTTTCTGTGGATTAGGGTACTTTAATCCAAGGTGCTGCCTAAAGTTCGTGGTGGTGTTGAAAGGATTAAATGAGGTGGTCTGTCAGTTCTTAGAACATAGCAAGCATTCCATGATTGTTAACAGTTACGTGTCTAAACCACCACTTGGCCTTTCTGGAATAACTTCCAGAAAGTGTAAGTCCCTTGAACATCATTGTGAGTTTAATCTGTGTTAAGAGGAGCAACTGCAGTACCTGAGTTAAAGTAGACAGATCTGGTAGTGGGAACTACTCTACAGAACCCCTAAATCTGGCAAGGACGGTATGATTTCATCTCCTCCCAGTAGTGAGGGTACCATGAGAGGTGAGTGTGGTGCCAGCTTCTTACTGCACAGAGCTTCCAGGTGTTAACTGTTTAAAAACTGTTGTTACTTATTTGTATAGTGTGTGTATGTGTATGAGAGAAATTTACTCTCTGTCGTGAATTGTTAAGTAATTTATCATTCTCAACAAATAATTACTGGAATTTTTCTGTTAAAGGCATTTTATCTTCTACTAGGAATTATGGATGTACGTAGGTATAGTAGTGACTATTTTTCAAAATGGTGATCGAGCAAACAATGTGATGGCAAGCATCTGCAATCAGAATTTTTCTAAACAAGCTAGACTCAGTCCCCTTTCATTTGTAGAGTTCTCTCACGTGGCCCTTTAATAATCTCTCCCTTATGACTGTGGCTCCTTTCTGAATTCAAGTGTCTCTGTTGACTTCTTGCCAACACCATTCTCACTAATTTCCATTTCATCTCTAAGACAGAGTTTTAGTGGCATTTATTCACTTCATCCCTCTGCTGTATAAACTTGTCTGTCATCTAGCCATGGTCATACAGCCCTTTATTCTTAGGCTTGAATGTTGTTATTGTCAGTTAAGCCACTGGATTACTTAGAATTCTCTCTCAGATTTTACATTTCATGTTACCTGTTTTCCTCTTCTCATCGTTGTACCACATAACCTTCCTAGGAGCTCCTCTATGCATCCTTCACTGTTGAGAAGATGGAATGAGAGTAGCTTTTTGCAAATTGATCGTTTTTGATTACAGATTATCTTAATCTTTTGAGAAACAAGTTTCTCCACTGTGAGACAAGTATTTATAGGACCTTTTTGGGATACCAGTTTCTTCTCAAATGAAAATCTTATTAATCCCTAGGCTAGGGAAGGGAATGTGGCGTCATCAACTAACTTGACAATCTACTATTTAAATTTATAGGTAGCGCCTGGCATGGTGGCACACACCTGTAATCCCACCACTCGAACTCAGGAGGCGGAGGCAGGAGGATCACAAGTTCAAGGCCAGCCTGGGCTACAGAGTTCCAAGCCAGCCTGGGCTATGAGACTCTGACTCAAATAAACAAACAAAAATAAATAAATAAAAATAAACATATAGGTAGGTCCCATTTTCTAGATTAAAGATCCCTATTTGTAATATGTTACATGAAAGTCCTGTGATGTACATCTTTGATAAAAAGAATTATTTTTGTGCCAAAAATTGTAACTCTTGTATTTAATGGTTTCGTAAATTTTATCTTCCTCAACTTTTATTGAAAAAATGCAAAATTTAATAAATGAATATCTAAAACATTCCTTTAATTGACTTTTGCTTTTTTTGGCAGCAAAAAGTTTAATCTCCAAAGGTAATAATGAAAAATGTAAGAAGACATGAAAATAATGCCAACCAGCAATCCTAAGAAATTGCTCTCACACTTAAACTTCAGTATAGGTTTCATATTAGAGATCATATTCACTCATAGTTGTTCCATAATGTCTGTCCTAGCAAGGATGATTTCCAATTGAGGGGGCACAATTTCCATTACATGTACAACATGCCCTTTACTCTGCTTCAAACCTAGAATGTGGGGCTAGAGAGATGGCTCAGAGGTTAAGAGCACTTGGAGTGCTCAGCATCCACATCCAGCTTCTTACAACTGCTGTAACTCCAGCTGCAGGCCATCTGATACGCTCCTTAGGCCTTCAAGCCACTGAATTCACATGCACAAACTCTCATACTGACATACACATACACACCTAATTAAAAATTTAAATCTTAAATGTGTTTAGTGAAAGCAGCTATCTTTTATTAATGATACAACCAGGGTTTAGAGAACTCAGGCTAAATCTCACCCACCAGCTGTTACTGTAAATACTTTTAATGGAGCAGTCATGCCCATTAGTTTATGTATTGTCTATGTGTTAGTCAAGGTTCTCTAGAGGCGCATGGGCAGTCGTATACCACCCATTAACTGTCACTTACCAGGAGATTTACGTTAAGGGTTGGCTAATACAATTATGGTGGCTGACAATGAAATTTATAAGGCAGGCTGACACGTAGAGTCACGAGTCTTCGACGGTCTTGAGGGAGGATTTCCACTTTCCTGGGAAACCTCAGTTCCTTTGGGGCACATTGGATGAGGCCCCTCTACACCAGTGAGAGTACTCTCCTTCACCTAAGGTTAGCAGCATGTAGCTGTGCTCCACACCTCAAACGACCTCCACAGCATCTACAGAGAAGTGTTGACTGTGTAACTGGGTACTGAAGTCATGTCAGCACAGGAATCTTAAGCGTCACTTGTCTATGGTTGTTTTCTTCCTACAGAATCAGAATTGAGTACTTGAGACAATATGACTGAGAAACATATAGAACACTAGAATAGTCACTGTCTGGTCCGCTACCCATAACTTGTCTTGTTGCAACAACAAAACACCTGACAAAAGTAACCTAAGGAAAGAAGCGGTTTGTGCTGGCTCGTTTTTATGTGAATCTGAAAGACACTAGGGGCGTTTTGGAAGAGGGGGCCTCAATTGCTAAAATGCCCATAACCAGGTTGGCCCGTGGACAAGCCTGTGGGCAAGCCTGTGGTGCGCTCTCCTAATTGGTCATTGACATAGGAAGGCCTAGATCAGTGTGGTGGCGCCGCCTGTGGACTGATGTCCTGGATGCTGCCAGAAGGCAGAAGGAGCAAGCTGGGAAGGTATTCTTCCATGACCTCAGCATCAGTTTCAGCCTCCCTCCAACCGTGGTTTTTCAGTGATGGAGTGTAATGGGGGAACCAACCCTAAGCTAAAATCCTTCCCAAGGTCCTTTTGGTCATGGAGTCTTATCGTAGCACTAGAAGCCTTGCGACATCATAACGTGTGTCCCAGTTTGAGGTGGTACTCTATTGTGGCAGAGAAGACAGGGCGCAGGACAGGGAGGTGCTGGCCACATTGCCTTGGCAGTCAGAAATAGACATACAAGCTAGTGCTGTACTCTCTCTCTCTCTCTCTCTCTCTCCCTCTCTCTCTCTTATTTTTTTATTTAGTCTGGGTCCACAGCCCATGGATGATGACAGCTCCATTCAGGATGGAGCTCAGGTACACCAGAGGGTTGTCTCCTAGGTAACTCAAATGGCATCAAGCTAACAATGAGGGTTAACCATCACAGGTTCTTTACAGAAAACTTGCAAACTTCTGGGCTGAACCATAAAACCATATTAAACTGATTACTGCTCCTGTAATACTGTCTAGACACGTACACACGTACACATACATGCACACAGACTTTGTTACAGTAATAAGAACTCGACCTCC